AAAAAAAAAAAAAAAAAAAAAAAAAAAAAAAAAAAAACACAAACACAAGCATGAAAAACAGGATATAAGAGATGGAAGAGAGAATCTCAAGTGCTGAAGATACAACAGAGGAAATAGACTCATAGTCAAAGAAAACATTAAATCTAACAAAAGATTAACCCAAAATATCCAGAAAATATGGATCCAGGAAATATGGGACACCATGAAAAGGCCAAACCTAAGACTAATAGGTATTAGGAGAAGTTCAACTCAAAATCACAGAAAATATATTTAACAAAATCATAGAAGAAAACTTTCCCAACCTAAAGAAAGACATGCCTATGAAGATACAAGAAGCTTACAGAACCCCAAATAGACTGGATTAAAAAAATACCCTCGCCACATTAATAATCAAAACACTAAACATACAGAGTAAAGAAAAAATATTAGAAGCTGCAAAGGAAAATGGTCAAGTAACAAATAAAGTTAGACCTATCAAAATTACATCTGACTTTTTCATTGGAGACAATGAAAGCCAGAAGGTCATGGTCAAGCGTTATGCGGACATTAAGAGGCCATTGATGCCAGCCCAGACTACTATACCCAGCAAAACATTCAATTAGCATAGAAGGACAAAATAATATATTCCATGACAAAATCAGATTTAACCAATACCTAGACACAAACTCAGCCCTACACAAAATACTAGAAAAAAACTCCAACCCAACGAAGTTGGCTACATCAACAAAACCATAGACAATTGATGGTTTCATAGCAGCAAATTCAAACGAAGGGAAAAACACACAAATTAACATTATCAACAATGAAAACTAAATTAACAGGAGGTAGCAATCACTGGTCATTAATATCCCTTAATATAAATGAACTGAACTCACCTATAAAAAGGCACAGGCTAACAGATTGGTTACCAAAACAGAATTCATTCTTCTTCTGCCTACAAGAAACAAACCTCAACCTCAAAGACAGGCATTGTCTCAGACAAAAGAATTGGGAAAAATATTCCAATCAAATGGATCTAAGAAACAAGCAGGTGTAGCTATCCTAATATCTAACAAAGTAAATTTAAAACTAAAATCAATCAAAAGAGATAAAGAAGGTCATTTCATATTAGTCACAGGAAAAATCCATCAAGAGGAAATCTTAATACTGAACATCTATGCCCAAAATACAAGGGCACCCTCAGATGTGAAAGAAATACTTCTAAAGCTTAAATCATAATTAAACTACACACAAGAATAGTGAGAGACTTCAACACTCCACTCTGACCACTGGCCACGTCAGTCGGACAAAAAATGAACAGAGAAATAAGGGAACTAACAGATGTTATGACTCAAATGGACTTAACAGACATCTATAGAATATTCTATCTGAACAGAAAAGAATATACCTTCTTCTCAGCACCTCATGGAACTTTCCCAAAAATTAACCACATACTTAGTAACAAAATAAGCCTCAACAAATACAAAAGAGAGGTGGGACTTGAGACGCTCCTGAAAGGAGCCCACGTTGCGGCGTCTGAGGGGGAAAGTGTGGCATTATGGCTTCTGTGTTGTCCTACGAAAGCCTGGTGCATGCCGTGGCCAGAGCCGTGGGAAGTGTGACTGCTATGACAGTGTTCTTTCCCTTGGATACTGCTAGACTTCGACTTTAGGTTGATGAGAAAAGAAAGTCAAAAACTATGCATGCAGTGCTCCCGGAGATTATTAAAGAAGGCCTCCTGGCACCATACCGAGGGTGGTTTCCAGTTATCTTCAGTCTCTGCTGCTCCAATTTTGTCTATTTCTACACTTTTAATAGCCTCAAACAGTATGGGTCAAAGGTCTACGTTCTTCTACAGGAAAAGATCTAGTGGTTGGATTTGTTGCAGGAGTGGTGAATGTGCTGCTGACAACTCCACTCTGGGTGGTGAACACCAGACTGAAGCTGCAAAAGGCCAAATTTCAGAATGAAGACATTATACCAACTAACTACAAAGGCATTATCGATGCATTCCACCAGATTATTCGAGATGAAGGAGTCTTGGCTCTGTGGAATGGCACCTTTTCCTCCTTGCTGTTGGTCTTCAACCCTGCCATCCAGTTCATGTTCTACGAAGGCTTAAAACGGCAGCTTTTAAAGAAGCGGATGAAGCTCTCCTCTCTGGATGTGTTCATCATTGGGTCAGTAGCCAAAGCGGTGGCCACCACAGTCACCTACCCCATGCAGACGGTGCAGTCGATTCTGAGGTTTGGACGTCATAGACTAACCCCAGAAAACAGAACCCTGGAGAGTCTTCGGAATGTTCTCTATCTTCTTCCCCAGCGAGTCAAGCGCTTTGGAATAATGGGACTCTACATAGGCCTTGAAGCCAAGCTGCTCCAGACCGTGCTCACAGCTGCCCTCATGTTCCTGGTGTATGAGAAACTGACAGCTGCTACCTTCACTGTAATGGGCCTGAAGAGCACACACAAGCACTGAGGTCCTCCACGGAGCAGTGTGGAGATGCACATGCTGCACAGAGAGAAGATGCGGCTCTCCTCTCCTCTCCTCTCCTCTCCTCTCCTCTCCTCTCCTCTCCTCTCCTCCCCTCCCCTCCCCTCCC